CTGCTGTTTTACATGATTGTTGAATGAAATTAACATAGTTATTAATTTATTGTAAAAACATGACAGATGATCTATGAAACAGATCCAGTTAAGCTTGTTGTTTATCTATTAGGTTCTATGGAGGCTGTGAGCTGTTGTCCTGTTAGGTCTGTTTCTGCTCCTCCATGATGTCACAGACACTACCAGTGGACGGTATGGGCGGGGCTCAGTCTAGTGATCTTATTCAAGTCTATGTGTTAACTTTAAATAGGCACCCTCTAGTAGACACTCACAGGAATTACAACTTAAATTACATTATGGGTTTAGTAGCCCAACATTTAATGCAGACTACAAACATATTCCTCCTTATACCACATGAGCTTCTACATGTCTGCCTGCGCCTCATGGCAGCAGGGTTAAAGTGGTGAGCAGGCGTCAGACAGAAAACTGTCATGTTTGAGTCTGGTTAGATGTGAACTGGTCAGGAAGTCTGTTCTGACCCGTGTCAGCTCACAGCTGTTCTCCTCTCTACAGGAGACGTGGTACTGGCCCGGTGAGGTCCATGCAGACAGTGTGGTGATGAGCGGYGTTCGTTGCTCTGGAACTGAGATGTCTCTGTCCCACTGCCTGCACCACGGAGCCCACCTCAGCTGCTCCAGAGGAGGGGGACGCTATGCTGCTGGGGTCTCCTGCTCTGAGAGTAAGAGTCTGAGCTGGTCTTGCAGAACACCTGAGAACCATGTTGGTCAGGTCCACATGTACCCGGTACCATTGATCTATATTACTGGATTGGACATCGCCTATAGCCGCCATAGCTAGCGATGCACCTTCATAGGAGCCATTGCCGTGCATTGAGTCAGGTCAACAAAACAGTAGTTTCAATGCGCGATGTGTTTCAATCTGTCACAAAAATATTCATAGCACCCTCATTTCTTATCCGGCTTCTAAAAAATAGAGCTTAAATTAAAGCTGAGAAAATTGCCGATGTTGTGATATATAAAAAATATGTATTTGCTCAAGAGATAAATCTATAAGCAGACTGGGAACTTTTCATTATAGGTTTTTGCTAACGTATTTACAGTAGAAGCCCCTTTCCATCGCATAAAACTAAGAGTCATGTGTGTCATATATATATATACATATATTATTCTAATTTTGCATTTGTTTCCTTCATTCACACTGAAGTGACTAAAGACAAATTCCTTCAGCTGGTCATAAGATGAAGGCGGTCGGCCCCTCCACCGCTTAGCTCATGAAATGTGCGGATGGAGGAAAAAAAGTTACAGAGATTTTTACTCTGATATATAATCACAAACTACAGGATATACCATATGCTGACTGGACAGAACATCAGTACCAGTAATATCTACACAGTTCAGCCTAGTAGTAGTAAATGTGTTGTCCATTATATTTACCTCTCACAATGTTATCCTAACATAATAACAATATTAATAAAAAATAATAATAATTTGTTGGAACAGCAAATTTGTCTTTATGTGATGGAAAGGGGCTTCTACTGTAAATACGTTAGCAAAAACCTATAATGAAAAGTTCCCAGACTGCTTATAGATTTATCTATTGAGCAAATATATATTTTTTACATATCACAACATMGGCAGTTTTCTCAGCTTTAATTTAAGCCACATTTTATAGAAATCAGATGAGAAATGAGGGTGCTRTGAATATGTTTGTGACAGATTGCCTCGCATCCCGCATTGAAACTCTACCRYTYTGTTGACATGACTCAATGCATGGCAATGGCTCCTGTGCGGCACACRATAAGTCACGTGATGTCCAATCCAGTAAAATAGATCAATTCCTGGTACTGTGTACCAACTTTCTAGTACTGACTGAGTATATGTCAGGTGTATACCCAGTACATTTCAGGTACTTACCTGCTACTTACCAAAGTGTCTGTGCTGTCCCCCCCTTCAGCGGCCCCTGACCTGGTGTTGAACCCCCAGGTGGTGGAGCAGACCACCTACATGGAGGACCGGCCCATGTTCATGCTCCAGTGTGCGTTTGAGGAGAACTGTCTGTCCTCCACCTCCGACCAGGTGCCAGCCAACACCTTCCGCCGCCTGCTGCGCTTCTCCTCCCAGATTCACAACAACGGCCACTCCGACTTCAGACCCAAAGCTGAGAGGCACCAGTGGGTGTGGCACGACTGTCACAGGTCTGTGTCTTGGTGTACCAGCTAGTTCTGGGTTTTATTTTTCACAAGAATTCCAGGTCGGCTGACACATTTCTGATCTAGAGATGGTCATAAAACCCCAAATTTCTTTTTTTCTGTGTGGATCAGTCATCAGTAAAAAGAAAAGGACGTCCTGTTAATGAGCGTTACTGCAGACAGTACAACAAACAGCACAGCAACAACACGACACAGAGGAAGCTTATTTTCAGTAGACGATGGAGTTAGAGGAGTAAAATCTGGAATTTCTGTTGTTAACAGAAAAGTGATCATTGTTTCCAGCAGACTGTGTGAGAACGTGTGCTTACACTGTTCAGAGGAGGAGCAGACCCTCCCATGCATGGAGAGCCGCCTGTGTCTCCACGCTGTCTCCTCTGTGCATAAAAATATCCAATCTTCTTCCACGGGTTGTTTGACTGTCGTTTTACATTTTGCTGAACAGTAGTGATGTTGGCTGTATTTTCTAACAGCCTCAGCCAGCTGCTCCCCAGAGGTCAACAGACTGAAGACACTTTTCACAAACACGCCCACAAAGTTCTGACCAATCACGCGATAGTTTCTCACAGGGTCTGTGCCAACACAGGACATCACAGTTTCCCTCATCAAACACTCTATACAGTAAGTTAGGTTGCACAGTCTGCAGTCAGTAGAACAGGTGGACTACACCTCACATTTCTGTGCAGAGCTGGAGGAGAACAGGATYTCTGTAAAAACAAGCTGAATAAGTAGCTGTGTGGCTGCATCCTCATGTGTGGACCACCTGGGTCACGTCCTTCGCAGTCTGGGTAGRCTTCATGAACTGCTGTGAAATGAGATGTCTAGCCTTTGCTTGACTCAAGTTTGCGTGACCACGCACTACCTCGTTACCAAAGTGATCAGTTTCATWTAGATATTTTGGGACGTGYATKTAWGTATTTTCACTGGAAGAATCTCTTCACAGTTAAAATGTTACTTGAAAAAAAAACCCACTGATAATTCGGGTTTAGCTCCAGTATCAAYACTTATAGTCACATTTTCTTTAACATCATATTGCAGCATGAATTTCATCAGCTAAGTTGTTAAACTTATTTTTAAAAACAAATTCTTCRGTCCTTGATGAATTTCCAAACTATGCCGACTCGTTAAAAGAATAAAAACTCCACCGTCTTCGTTTCTCTCTTTAGTTTTCTGTCGGTTCATTGAACCCTGGSATACCCTCGGCCGGGAAGGATACGCAGGTGCGTCCTTGGTTTTTGAGCGTTTGTGGGAYGCATTCCTCGGCCGCATGATGAGGAGCCTTCAAACTGGGACAGCACTCGGTGTGGGGCAGTGACGTATGCAGCCCACAAATGTGCACTAATGAGGATGCAGCCCATGAACGCAGCCAGAGTGTGGCTTATTTATCAAATCATAACAAGTATGATCCATGCAGTGAACATGCTGAGAGGTGCCACTGATGGTTGGTTAGAATGTGAGAAATGAGCCAGAGAGGGTCTAAAACGTGTGTGTGTGTGTGTGTGTGTGTGTGTGTGTGTGTGTGTGTGTGTGTGTGTGTGTGTGTGT